GGACCTACCAGCTTGCTTCCCTACGCACCATCTCCCAAAACACCTATTGAGGGCATCGCAGCCTTAAACCCTGTGTAGCCTTAACCGCCTAACCCTGACATCCTAGACCTTAAATCCTGAAACCCTAGAACCCAGAAACGCCTCTGTGCTCATGCCAGGAGGAGGTGGAGCTGGGATACCCAGAAAACAAGTTCTTGCAGGGATTAGGGATTTAGGGCGTAGGGTGTGTTAGGTTTCTCGAATATTGGTAGTTTCTTTATATGGGGTGCTTTCTGTAAGGATGCACATTGTTAGGGGCTGCAAGGATTCTATCTGAAGGTTTTCAGGATCCGTATGGTATAGATGCGCGAGGCCGTAAGGGAGGGAAACTAGATTCGGGAGTTTCCCATTTAGATTTAAGAAGGTGTGAAGGATTCGAGGCCCAGGATTCACGCCTCAAAGTCGTTGATTTGATTTGAGTTCTTGATTATTAATCCCCCTTGCAAGCCCAATACAGTTGAAGCCTGAAAGTTGGGAGACTGCCGTCCCAGTTTCTTGCACATCGAAAAGGTCGCCTAGCTCATCTTCCAACTTTGGAGTCTTCCAACTTCTTTCTTCCAAGTTTAGAAAATTGGAAGATGACATGTATTGATATTTGCAATTTCTATTTGCAATTTCTATTTGCAATTGGGAACGAAACCAGCTGAAGCGGGTACAAAGGTAGGTAAACTGGATAGGGCGGTGCCCTCCCTGTCCGTCAGGCACACCCACGTAATGAGCAACATGCCGGGAAGGCCATTCTTTGTTTTGGAAGGAAAAGGCGAGGAAACGCAAAGTTGGAAGATTTTCTGCAATTTGTGCATCAGACGAAACATCTCATGCAAAATGCCAACATTCGCCCAAAATCCATTCCAGTTTGGACAGTCTAGCATCCCTCCACCCAACGGAAACTTTTCAAACCCAATTAAATCCAAGCGTGGCGCGGGTCGGCCAGGACAAAAACTTTTAGCGCCGAATCTGTTGGAATGACCGCGCACATGGGCTTTTACGCTGCATCCAGGGGATGTTCGTGTTGCTGCGTCGTTTAGCGTCGCTGTTGGCGGCGCAGGGCCCAAAAGGAGGGGGAATTCGTGCTCAGTGGACCGCGGTTCTTCCATCAGGGCAAAATCAGCGTGCCCTACCCGCCGGCTTGTGCTGGAATGCGTCCCAGTCTTGTAGGTCCGCGGTCTGCCGGGCCCAAGATCCCCCAAAATGCAAAGTTGGAAGATTCCGCAATGGCGATTTAGTCATAGCCATGGGTTCCCCAGCCCAAAACGCGAGAAACGGAAAGTTGGAAGATTGGATACTGGGCCCATCCGCTCCGTTCAGCACCTTCCAACTTCCAGGCGTTCACCATAATGTAATTGAGGACATTGCATGGCTACACGGTTTGATTATGGCAGGTTGTTGATGCCCTGTATGGCATCCTTCTTATGACCTATGATGCAGAAACTGCAGAATCTAGATCTTGTTTTGCTTAAGGGCAGCATTTTTCCAAATTGGCAGGCGTCCTTCTTGGTGCATGCCATGTTTGGGAGCCACAGTGCTGACTTCATCTTGCGGACGGGATTTGTAAGAAGCCTCTCTGGTACGTACAATATCTGGACATCTGACAAGTTGAGCATCATCGTATATATGAGTAGTTGTGGCAAAATTGAAAGGTCTGCTCTAGGACTTCAGCTTTGCGCACCACCGTGTGATGGCAGACCCTGGCAAGTCCTTGAGGCAATTCCTTGATTCTCCAGGAACCTGAAGAAGAGGCATGTGCTGCAGGTGATTTTCATTGTTCTGCTTGGGCACTGGGTTTTTGAGAAGTGGATGGATATCAGCAGCCATTGGAACCGATATGATGCGCACGGCTGCTCTTTGCAGAGCATCCCCCTTTGGCTTTGCAACTGCACGTAAGCTACAAAAATGCCCTACGTGGAGCGTGATTGCGGGCTGGACCGCATCACACAAAACCTTGCATCCATAAACATGTACCAAACATGTGTGCGCAAACGGGCTGCAGCACTGGCTCTAGGATCGAGTTTTCTCAGCGCAAGCTATGAAAAGATCCTTAATCTAGCTGCAACCTCTCATCTAGCTGCAACCTCTCAAATAGTAAATCTATCAGCCGCCATCCGGCACAGTACAACTTTGAAAACAGCCACGTGAACACCTCAATTCTCGACACTAACCCTGAGAACCCTCCAGACCTCTATGCTCTATAAACAAAAGCTCTGAGGCACCCATCTTTGGTTACGAAACCATGGTGCGAACCCCAATCTGGCCTGCCTCCGGCTCGCAGGGATTCATGGATTTGGTTCTCTGCGTTTTGAGTGGAATGCTACGGGGGTTGTTTTGAGTGTATCAAGGGGCCCTGAGATCTCATGCCCCGGGTATTCGCTGGGGATCATCCCAGGGCCCTCCACCCCTCACATCCCCCATAAGCCCCCCCACCCCACCTCAATTTAGTACCAATATACAACGGGCAAATATGTTGATAGGTGGGGAGTTTATCTTAGTAGGGGAAGGGAATTAGCAACATGCCCTTTGTACATGTGTAGAATACCCCGCCGCAGCTTTACCTCGCAGGCCAAGGCCCATCACTTCGGCCTTTACAGGACCGAGGATTGAATCTTAGCATTCGGATTCAGCGTTGCAGATTCAAGGCTTTAGGTATTGGGGTTGAGGGTTTCGGGCCTAGTGTGCAAGACAGAAACAGCCTGCTACCATTTAGGAAATCAAAAAGTCGCCCAATCTCGACCCCGGAAACCTTTCCTCAAAACCCTATAGCGGCCGACCTTAAAACCCAGGAGGTTAAACCTCATTCCCAGAAACCCAAACCCTGCCCCCTTAGCAACAGCTCATGTCCCCGGCACTCACACCAGGCTTTGCAGGACTTAGTAGGCGATTCGCGAAACTTCCAGTGCCCGCATGCCGTACCAGAGTAGTTAAGCCTTCTTCACCCCTCACACCACATTTTCAATGCATGAACCCTGCATCCTACACCGTCTACAAGAGCGTCTCAGCCGCTGTACATAGGTACATTTGGCACGGCTACTCCGGGGCACTGATGGCCGGAGGCGTGAACATTGCCGCGCCCCCAGGCAAAGTCGTAGGCCTTCCAATATAATTCCTCTCGCGGGAACGAAGGGTCAGGGTCTATGTCCGTGTCGGACGGGCTCTAGCAGTCCATTGGGAGGGAAGGACCCATATTCATCATGGGAATGGACGTAGGAACAGATGCTGCTCACATTACTGTGCGTGCGGCGTTCGGCTCAGAGTTTCAACATTGTTGTCCCGCTCTTTTCCGACGAAACCCACCTGCACTGCAGCAGCCCTTGATGTGAGATCCGCACAACAGCCAAACCGCGGGTTAGGGAAGGCTCATATGCTCCTCTTTGAATCAGCTGAGTTTGAGGTCACAAACTCTTTCAGCAAACACCAGACAATCTCCAAACAGGTGTTGCTTAGAAGTAGCACTCTCTTTTGCGCTCCGTTTTTTCTGGATCCCGTTGTCCTGGCCAAATTCAGATGAATGTCCAAGCTCTTGATTCAGGCTTTTGGTTGCGTGCTGTGCGCACGGCAATTATGAAGTTTGGCAAGAGTACCGTACCCATACCCCAAAGCATCCATCCCAGACATCCCTGACACAATTGTACAGCTATTGCCGATGCACCACATGGTAGACGCATTCTACTTCTACTGCCAAGGTGGAGGAAGAGGAGGAAGAAGAGGAAAAACAGAAAGCTGGCTTCACCCTGAGGCAGCCTTCCAGATTCTTTGAGGTTTTGGGAGGAAGGTTTAGGATGCCGTAAGTCGTTTTTGTATCAGCACTGGTGACTTGACATGACGTTACAAACGCTTCCAGCACCACATCTACCTTCAGCCCCACAACGTGCAGTACTTACCCTTACCTCAATCCGTGCAGTGTCAGATGGTGCCAGATGTTATTTCTCCCAGACATTGTCGTTTATACTTTACAGTGGAACCCATTTAAAGCACAGGGCTTGTTTGGCCCTGCAGGCATTATTCTTTTTCAACATTGTCTCAAGTACTTGAAACACACAGTTGCAAGGTCATGCCAGCACCACACTGACATTTTGCATGTCTGCCACGATTGTTGACCCGCTCTGTGTATGGCTAGTATCGGTATGGTAACGGTGATGGCCAGTGGGCTTAAAATTTGAGGGTGAATGTTTTTAACGTTTGCAGGGCATTGTAGGGCTCCATGTAGGGGAGTGTAGGAGTGTAGGCATGAAGCCTCAAGGCCGCCCGTAAGCTGATTTCAATTCTGTCAAATGTGTGAAGAAATCGGAATTTTCCACACCTCCATCTTCGTGTGTTGGTTGAAGGCCTACATACAGAGCTTTTCCAATAAGTTTGAGCTCCACTTGTGCCATTCCACAGACTCATAGGCAGGCCCATGCAGGCAATGTAGGCCCTGGGCCCTGTTGATAGACACTGGCCTTTACATGGTCTGATCATATCTTTGTAGCAGCCGCAGAAGCCAAGCAGCGTCACACTCGTTTGCGAAAGCTTCCCGTTGCAGTTCGATGCTCGTGTTGAGGTAACACCGAGGTGGCAATGTGGTTATAATGTGACAACATTGCCGCTAATGTAGTAGTTTCCATTATCTTTTCCATTACCCTTATAAAGCCCCAATGTATCCTTATATAATCCCTATATAATTCCTGTAGTTTCCATGTTCTTTACCATTATCCCCGTATAACCCCAATATTCTATTGCTGAATCAGCTCCAGCTTGCCGGCAGTTGGTGTGCGTCCCAAGTTTCTGCTCTTTTTGCTAGGCCTGATGTCCTGTCAGGAAACTCTCATAGACCAAGCCGAACTTCTTCATAAGCAGGTTCCGCCGGTGTAGTAGTTGTGGAAATGTAGTCCTGGTTCTTAGTACACCATACAGCAGTTACCGGATACCTTCAATCATCAGCAACCGCATCGGTTACCCTATTTGAGCCCAAGACCTTTCTGATGCAGGGGCCTTCTGGGCCCGCCGGCACCCGTAGACATCATCAAAGCTGAGAGCATCGTGGGCTTCCAGGCACTTTGGGTTTCCCGTCTAGAGTCCTGACATTTAAGGGCTGGTTGAGTTTCATGCTCTCTTTCTTCGTGATTCGGGATTTGCAACATGGATATTGAGATTCCGACATGGTGGTTCAGGGTGGCCTGCGGGCACAGCACTCAGGAGATAGCAAGCAAGGAAGCAAGCAAGCAAGCAAGCAAGTAAGGGCACAAGTCCTTCATACGTCACAGGTCTTACGTTGCCGTGTTCCTACAAAGCTCATGCTACTCTCAGCCCCGGTCTGTTGAATCTTCGCCTCCGTGTCAGGGCTGTCATGAAATCAACCTTGGATCTAAGAGAAGCAACGCCAAGCATGATCGGCTAGTTGGCGAGCAGGAAACTGTAAGCTGATTGGTGACTCCTGTTTAGCCGTATTTGCTTTGGGTACCGACTCCTTCTGGAAGAGGAAGGTGTTCTTGGGCGACTCACACCCGCCTTCATGTCATCCCTCAAATTGATTTCTAGGTTGCTTTCAAGTTCAGCCAGGACTGTGCTATAAGTGGTCAAGCAATTAGGGGACTTCCTCAAATCTGTCTCATAAGCCCAGAAGCTGTGAACCCAGAGGTCCAAGGCTCCATCGAGAAGCTGGGAAGCATCGGCAAAGGGCTCATGCTCAGGAGCTTCCCCTGACAAATGCCTTAAGTTCAATACGATGCAGGTCCCACAATGTAGGTTCCTACAAGCCATTCGCGGATTGCTGCGTACAAAACAGCTTGATCTGGCGCAAACGTGCCCTAGATAGGGTCTCTGCTGAAGACAGGGCACCTTTGGCTGGCGACTGCGGCTAACTGGGTTCTATGGGTCGCTTTTCTGCTGCAGGGCCCTGCTGTCGTGGCTCCAACCCGAGCCATGTCCTTCAGCAGCTAAGAAGAGCATACACGTAAGCACTTTCGTGCCCCGAGTTGCATGGGGCTTTTGTCTACTGCCACTGGATATCAGCTATGTTGAATGCTTCAGTGTGGAGCAGAGCACACTGTAGCGCTTCTTGGTGGGCACGCAGCACTCTCTGCCTGCTACTGCACTTGCCTATGTCTGCTTTGCGCAAACCTTCTTGTAACAGACTGGACACGGCGCATGTGTCGGCTGCATTTGTGAGCGTAGCATTTGTCATGCAAAGCTTGCAGAACAATGTCTCCCAGGAGTATCCTCGGGCAAGTAGACATGTCGATTGCAAATGCGGATGGAAGTTGGTGTGCCAGGCGTCCTAGCTGACCGCTTTACACAAACTTGGAGGAGTCCCCAAGCAAGCAGCAACATCTAATCAGACAAACTATTTGAACGTACTGAACAGGGCAAGGTTCACACGACTGACTTCGACATGCTTCAACAATTGCCCATGACGTGTGCTCAAACTGCTATGCAAATGGCAACCCTACCTTCTCCAGTTTTGCAGCAAGTCTTTGTTGCATATTCGTTCTTCCGCGCAGGATACCAATGACACTTTTCGGCCGGCCCGTCTACGAGTTTGAGGGCGGTGGACAGTGACCACACCTTCTGGGCGGATTGTTTTGACAGTTTTCTGGACTGAAAAGGCTTGAACCCTTTGTGTTTGAGGTTTTTGTGTTTCTAGAGATTAACTTGAAGAGCTTCAAACTTTCAACAAGTTGCTGAAGTCAACTAAATATGTGCTTATGCCTCGTAGCCCCATAACCCTCTAAACTTATACGTTGGAAGCCAGCCAACCCAAACGGCAAGCACGGGGCAGGATTGTTTGGGGCTTCCCCTACACATCCGACATGCGGCAAGTCTTCATTTGAATGCTGAGAGGACTGTGGCAAAGAAAGCAGAAGGAAGGTGCTCGACCTCCAAACTGTAGCCGCTAAACCTGCACCGACAACTTGCCTAGGGCTTCATCGCGCAGAACTGCTGTCTTCAAACTGAGTTTACATGTAGCACCCCACAGGCCCGCCCCACAACCTCAAGGCTACAATGCTCTCAACACCAAGTGAGCCAGTGACCTGCGCTATAGTTGCTTCGGCCCCCTGTAACATGTCTGAAATAGCCTTTCTTGCCACCTTGAGACCATTCCTAGGAGACTTTAGTGACCACCTCGCGCGCCCATCAGCAGGAACCGTGAGTACTAGGGCCTGCCGCTAGCCACAATTTGGTTGATTCTCCTGTTCTGCTTGTTGTACCCCACCAATGATGCACTTCTTCGGTAACAGCTTGAAGTGTGCTGGGCGTACTTTCCTCATATCTTATTGCACGCGGTCTTAGCTCCAAATGCAGGACTTCCTGAGAAAGACTGGCAGTGTCGTGACGCGAGCATATGACGTTATCCCAAGGAATACCTGTTCTGAAAGTGGGCGCAGTGGGAAGTAGTGCCCCATGTCACAAACCAGAACGCAGCAGCAAGGACCTTGACATGTCATCGGCTGAGCCGTGGTGGTTCACATTGTACAACCCACGCTATACACCCTTACCTGCTGAAACCATCCCTGGAGGCCCATCAGGTTGTGGTCGCCGATATTCCACAGAATTATAGGATCCTTACCAGCACACGAGGTCCCGCAAAAAGAGCTTTATTTGGATGCTAATGATTTTCAAGTGTAGTTACAAGTAATCATGATCATACTGCATCTAACCTGTTTAGAATTATTCATGAACCTCTAAGTGGGTCATGTGCCGTGAACCCTGGATACGTATATGCATGCATGACGGCTGTAAAGGGTCCGTAAATTGCCCCCATTTCGAGGAACACCACAAAACCCTAAACCCCATCTGTAGAGGTACCTGTATTTCCTGAAGAAGGAGGCCAAGATCGCAGAGGGCCAGTCAGCCAGCTGGGAGGACGGGAAACTGGCTGGTGCTAAAGGGGGGAGTTGGGGGAGAATATGGGGATGATCAAGAGGATGATTCCGTTTTTTCAATGGAACCCACGCCCACCAATGCCGCAAGAAATCTGGATTCAACGGTCTAGGAGTCAAGGGCATAGCAGGCCTTTTGGGAATAAGCAGTTGGAGGATTTCTTCTAGCATTTATCTGGGTGCATCCTGCAGTTCTGTTGGGGGGTTGGCGGGTGGGGTGATGATTCTGCGTGGGTTGGACTACTACCACTCCTCCTCCTCCTCCTCCTCCTATGACGACAGCAAATACTCAAAAACAAAATACTAGCACTCATCTTCCTGCTGCTGCTAGTACCACTGCCAGCAGCACCATCGCCAGCAGTAGTACGTAACACGTCGACGGCTGCTACGACGCCGTTTAATGAACTGCCACCACCAGGGCCTTATATGCTATCATATGTATCTTGTGGGGAGGAATTCGGAGCTGGCGTGGAGCCTAACCCACAGAAGCTCTTCGAGTCCACGCGCCAAGCTTCTCTTGGACTCAGCGGTTTACCGGTCTATGAATTAGGTTTTAAATCAGAGTATAGTCCATAATGCTGATTCCTGCAAAACCTCACATGATGATCTTGGATCAAAGCTCTAGCAGAGGTATTACTTTGCATTTGTGTCTGCGAGTTGTTGTTTAGCATAGGTTGGGGAGCTGTTGAGGCGTCAAGTTAATTGAAGTTTGTGCGCTGGCCTCTTTTTTTGTTGAAGGTTGCGGTGTCAGGCTTAGTCAGGTGTATTTTGGTTGTTGACGGCCACGGGGTTCAAGCTTCCCACAAGGAAACAGGTGCTTGGATTATTGCTACTAATTAAGGAGCGCATACAGAAGCCCCATTCATCCTTGCATAACACTTTAGCAAGGACTGGTGAGTGTCATTCCACATGAAAAGGCAGTGGAGTAGTTCCATCAGGTTTGGGAGTTCAGCTATTTTCTTATCATGGCGTGGCAGCACAGACACTTATGCAGGGACTCGTAACGGATATTGGCCAGGGTGGTCCATGTTGGCACGGACTTGGAGGGAACATTTACCAGGATGTGACGTGGAGCTGGAGACTTCACGAAGGCTGTTAAGGCCCATGACAGTTAGAGATCATTGATGGAGCCAGTGTGGGAGAGCAATCACGATTTCTTAGCCTTGAGAAGCAATGAGTTTTATTGACCCTGCAAGGGCCAGAGCTCTACTCCCTCGTGTCCTTCCATCCCCTTCAACCCCGGCAGCCCAGACTTCCCAAAACTACAGCATACACCAAATGCAGCTGTGATACCGGCGTGCATATTCAGAGTTGAGATGCTCGCTCTTAAGGTGCGCGGACCCTTGTACACTTGTCCACTTGTAGGCGTGGCAAAGCCGCAAGAATTACACCCCTGAAAGCCTCGTGAGTTTCACGCACAATCCCGACCTAATCCTGAAAGTCTTGCTCACCTCCGATCGAGGATGGAGGGCTACTGGGCCATTGGCGTAGATGTGGGGGACGACAGTGAAAGTGAGCGATGCCTGGGCTACTGTGAGGCCGGCCTCCTCGGGTTCAGACTTTTGAATTATCTGGGTACTGAGAATCCATCCGGGCAACCCTGAGACTTCCACAAATTCCACAAGCCTTTTCGTTCTTTACAGTGGGCCTTTTTTGCAGCGTGTGTCTTAAGATACAGAAGTAACGTATAAGCCGCTCCGTTGCAGCCTCATGTAGCTACACCAACACCGTCCCAAGCTCGATCTCCAAAAGTTCATCAAATTGCGCTATGTCCTTGAATCAGGGCCTATGCGGAAGGGTTTTGCTTTGTCTCTCAGGAGGGGCGAGAGCCGGTCTTTTCAGAGCAAGGCTCCAGACCAATCTTCTCAGTCAGTAGTGATGGCACAAGATGGCACCCAAATTGGAATTTGGTATCTCAGCCCCAACCTTCTAGGCACCCAGCCCAAGCGCAGAATCAGAAGTCGCGGAGATTGAGAACAAAAACCCTCGACCCCAGAGCCTGAAAATCCCTGAAGCCTGGCTTCCAGGATTTGGCCGTGACACCAGATCAAATACAGAGGCTGCCCCGGCGGTATGGGTACGGGTGGGCTTAAATAACTTCAAGCCTGGGTCTCTTCGCATGGGATTTCAGATTCTCAGAAGTTTTCAGCAAAGGGCCCAGCTGCCATCACGGGGCTTTCCTGGGAGTTCTGGTTATGCAGGGAAGTTGTTGAGAAAGTGATGGATTCCCTGCACCTCATGCAAAGGAGACCTTACATCTTCGTACCGTAGTGTTAAGGACTTAGCCGGAGGATCCCCGCAGAATCCTGAGTAGGGTCTGTTTCAGGCTCCTAGAAAACGCATCCCGCAGCTTCCCATTCTAGAGCAGGCTGAGAGTTCAGACGTAAGTCCTGGGTTCTACGATGGGTACTCATGTTGGTGAACTGTTGGAGCTTCCTCACAGTTGATCTCTGATGGTTCTGAGAAAAGCAATGTAAGTCTTATGTAAGTGTTCATTGAATGAAGGGCGTCGTGTTTGAAACTTCCTGGGCAGGAGTTTCTGAATTTATGATTGAGATCTATGATTTTGTCAGCATCAGCCCAATGAGGACCCTGTATCTTGGGAGGTGAGCAAGATTTCGACACGCTCCTTGTCCGCCCCCTCCTCATGATCCTTCTACTCCTGCTAACCGCCTGCTCCTCTTGCTTCTACTCCTACTCCTGCTACTCCTATAATCCCATCATGAAGAGACGGCTCCGCTTCCAAAGACCCAGATCATTATGATGACCAAGTCCCCAAAACACTTTAACAGTTCTCAAAGTAGCCTTCTTCAGGTGGTGTTTGGGGGACCTTGATTTTGCATACCAATTCCGACCTTGCTGCAGGACTTGGTACGTTCGGGGAGCTAGCAGCTTCCATTCAAATCCTGAGCTCAAGTGCCAGACTCGGTGGAGAGCACTGGTTCCGTGGGGTTGGCGAAAGGGTCTTAAACTTTCGGAAAACTTTGGTCACTTGTGAGGGTGCCCTTGTAAACAGGATCTGACTTCTGAGACGGTATACAATGCCTATAGGCCTAGTTTGGTTCTGCCTGCTGCTTCATTCCGAATATCAATGCAAATATACCCACACCGCATATCTGTAAGTACCTCTTCAGGGCTTGGCATTAACACCTCAACCTTCGGAGCTTAGTAGATAAATCCAATCCAGGTACACGTAACTACGCGGCAGCTATATGATGCTGAATTAGGGCTCGCCCCCACTAGGATGCAACCTTGCGCCGTAAGTGTGTCTTACCTATAGTACTGGCCCCTCTACTCGCTGAAGAATACCCTGGAGATTCCCCTCCTTGGACTCTTTGATGTTGCGTAAGTTGTCGCAGTCACAGACAAGTTGACAATAATAGTCGGAAAGAACAGTACCAACAGCAAGGTTCCTCTGTCTCAATGTTTCTGCATAGCCATACCGTTTCATCTTAGTCACCTTTTCCTTCCTCAGAAAACCGCTTTAACCTTCTTAACTGCGGCAAGTTGAGCTTGTTCATTGGAGCCCTACTCGCTGCATCATTCCCGCATTTCGCTCCTGATTTGTTTTCAAAACGAATACTCTGGTAATGCAAAGCTTGAACACCCTCTGCTGACATTAGAGCTTGTAGAACGATGGACCATGCAAATAATTTCATAGGGCCGCGTAGGAAGATATTGCCATGCGACTTTGTCGGCGGTTTTGATGTGAGAGCTTCTGAAGATCCAAAGGCTGCTTGCATGCACAAACACTCCATTTAAGCGCCCCGGCACCCTGGAGAATCTATATACTTACTCGGGCTAGGAGTTTGCTGGGCTTGCTCTCTAGCAGGATGAAGTCGCGGCAGAGTCCCTAAATTGCGTTGCTTCCTGCAAAGTAGTGCATCACCATTGTGATCATGCACTGCATGCATCCATACTAGGCCGCAGCTAGCCCGGCTAGACTTAGGAAACTGGAGCCTGACAAATCTTCAGGTGGCTTTACATAAGAAGTTGCCGTGTTTGGAGTACTAGCGCCTAGGCCTAACTGGAAATTGCACAGACCTGCCACGCGGTACTGTATATTAGGATGACTCTTTTCTCGATGGCTCTCAGCACTTGAAGAACTGACGGAGTCTTCAAACAGTTAGAGCCCAAACTACGAGCCATCTGGAAGCACCTGCTGCGTTGGCTACTAGTGCGGCAGCCCAATTGAGCTGCTCTGGTGGGATGTACCACTGATCTCTTGGACGTTGCTCATTGCCCGCAAGCATACACTGCTAAGGCACATCTTCCTTTTCCCAGCCATTAACGCGACACGAAAATCCTCAAAACCTGCACCTGAGCCCCGAACAGGACCTATATATAAACGTCTGCAAGCCCTGAAGCCCGAAGAGTCCCACTCCCGGAAGACCCAAAGCCCAGAGGCGTAAACCACTGACCCCCCCCCCCCCCTCAAGCACATGTCCTGCCCCCAAACGGTAGCTCATTAAGTCTTTGTTACGAGCAGTTCCATGTGCATGAGTATGGGCTAGAAGAACCACCGCTAACGATTCGGGAATAGGAATCGTAAAGAGGGACGATGATGGTGGCATATACCCTTATGGCACGACCCATGGTCAAGAGCCAGAGCCAATGGCGCAATTCTCCAACCAATCCACTTGCAGGCCTCCTTGCTGTTTGTTCGGCTAGTGAGCTCCGGCTTGGTCAAGAACACTGTTTCAGGTTTATTGTAAGGGAGGCTGGGTGTACCCTTTGAGTTATAACGCCCTCGCCGTCTAATGAGGCCCCAAGAAGGGAACACGCAGTGATTCCTGTAAGATTGAAATCAGTTCATAACGGTGGGGTAGGATCCGCGGCAGAGAAGCTGAGGCTACGGGTGATTCTGTCGAGAGTTCCCCAGGCTAAATGCGAAAGCGCTCT